TTTTACTTCAATACATCCTGACATGCCAGATTTACAACTTCCAACGTAATTTTTTTTTTATAAAATGAATGTTATGAATATCTGCAAGATAATGATCCAAACGTTAATTTGACTAATTGATTTATTTTATTTATTATAGGTGGGCTTCTTCTGCTGAAGAATTTATACGCATTCATTCGGAAGCTTTAGAAAGCGATCATGTATCGAAAAATTTACACATTTGGATTGATTTGTCATTCGGATGTAAACTTAGCGGTAATGCACAAATTCGTTGACTCTAAACACTCACCCCATAATAATAATAATATGGTGTGAGATTGTTGTGAATAACTTATGAATAATTTTTACATAGATATTTATAGATTACGGTTATATATTACTTGATAGGTGCTGATGCGGTTGAAGCAAAAAATGTTGCATTACCGCTTTTGGACGGTCAAAATTCTTTTATGAAGCACGGGATCACTCAACTTTTTTCGGATCCACACCCACAGAAAATTGTGAAATCTGATAGCAATAAAAGGTTTTTCAAAAATTTCTTTATCATATAATTTATTTTTAAAAATGTGTAACTATTAATTTATTATATTACCCTTCTGTTTAGATCTCCTGTAAATATTAATGGCAATATGTCATTGTTAGAAAAATATGAAAATATCTCGAGTAAAAAACGAATACAACTCAAGCCTACAGATTCGAATAAACAATTGGTCGAAGTCGTTGGAGATTTGTTAGGATCTGAAAAGACCATGGGAAAATATCAAACTATATCTTCGCGATTAAAATCACCAAAGTTGGCCCCTACTTCAAAACAATTATCACTATACGATGCTGTTTCACTTGATGAAAAGGATCCAAAAGATCCTATTTCTCGTTTTGAAGCTTTATCCGCATATATTAATTCTTTTCCAATACATTTACCGGATGATATTGGTGACGAGTACTTTATTGAAAGCCTGAACAATTTTGAACAAGCACATTCTTTTTCCGCAAAATATCTCCCCCACAAGTATATAAAACATGAATACTCACAGCATTTTGGTAATATTCAGAGTAGTCATAAACAAGACACGGCAAATGAAACAGTTGATTCATATTTTGCATATGGAAGGGCATGGGATGTTTATTGCCTTGGAGAAATCATTCAAAGCATATATTTCGCTGTAAAAAATGATGACGGAATATCAATCCTTTCAGTACACCAGCATCAAAATGGTGCAAATCAAAAAGACTTTTATAAGGTATTTCTAGAAATAAGGTTTTCATTGGTCTTTACTTTTTTTTAGTATAAGTTGTGAATACGAATTAACAAATCTAAATATATTCATATTTATGTTTAAGTTACCACTTTCCGTGCAAAAAGTTGTGTCATCATTAATGTCTCCAAATTGGAAACAACGTCCTTCGATTGATGCTTTGCTTTATTCATCCGTTCCTGCGATGGGTTTATATGATGAAGGTTTAACTTTACCGTTGCCAGAATGTGTTCCTGAAGCTTATGAATTCTTGACCGATTTTCATCGGGTGTAAGTTATTTATATTTCATGCAAACTATTTACTAAAAATATTGTAAATAGTAATATTAATATTACATTTCTTGTTTATAATTAACAATAGTGATTGGATTGGAAGGCTAAAACTTACAGAACATTGGATGGAAAGACTCTGCAATCTTATTGATGAGGTATAACATTATTGGAGACTATAATTGATCCAAGTTATTTAGTTATTTAATCTTTTTTAAATATCTATTAGGCCTTTCTCATGATTTTACCAAGCCTAGTGTTACTATTTACAGTTGATATTATAAAAATTGAAGCATTGAATATTTTTTCAAGTCTCGGACAAAGATTGGGTCAAGATGACACAAAGACTTACCTTTTGAAACCAATAATTTCCTTATTTGAAGTATGACTTTTTTTTTCAAAAAATATTACTTTTTATTTATTATTAATCCTAAACTATTAGTAAAAATGTATACATACTCACAATTATGTATTCTGTTTGATCAAGAATCTGTACGGGAAGCTATTCCTGCCAGGTTTGCTGCATTAGATTTATTACAATATTGTTGGTACTATTTGTAAATATTAGTTAAGTCTTAATGGTTTTTAACAATAATTCAGCGGTGCAATCGAACTTGCAACATGTGGCTCATCCGAATTAAATGCTTTATCATTTTCGGCGCCATTACGGTCACCACCCGAAAACCATTTATCTAGTGATCGTATTAGCATCGCATCAAGATCCTCTTCCCAGGATAAAAGTGCTAGCACAAGTACACCTAGGTTTATTGCAAATTTGGAAGATAAAAAACAATTGAATTTGAATAGTGGGATATTACCAACAAAAGAAGTTACAACTGCAATAACAGTGAACAAGACTTTTTCATTGTTTGCAGGCGAAGGAGCTAGTAGAAAACTACATGATATTAGTCATCAAGTTGTTAGTGGAGTGTCCGTAAAAAATGTTGCCGCACCTGTGAGGAATAATAGTTTACCAAGTACTGGATCCGCTAAAAAGTAAATAATTTTGTGAAATAATTGTACATGTGTTGTATAATTTAATAACAATCACCTTTTTAGATCAAAACTTAAAGGAATTAACCTGTCGTGGAGAACAAAGAGCTCATCTAATGAAGACTTAAAGTAATTAGTCTTTTACATTTGCAAGGCGTGTTTTTTTTTGTTATTCTCGATAAAATCTTTTTTTTGATAATTTATATAATATTAGGAACTGGACTCGGTTTTTATCAACAAATTCAGGTACCTTTATTATTTTATCCTAATCGTATAAATAATCGTATAAATACTTATATGCTTGTATGCTTGCTTTGACAATAAAAGAAGAAATGTCGAACTCATTACAGTTTACTTTTAATGACTTGAAGCTTCGTACTTTTTCTGGTATGTTAATTGACAAATTATTTATTTGATAATTAATTATTATTTACACTATATCTTGCCAAACAGGGCATTCGTCAGCTGTTCGTTCTTTTGACGTCAATGAACATGCTCGGCTAATAGCCTCTGGTTCAAAAGATCGCACAGTAAAACTTTGGTCATTAGACTTTCATAACGGAATAGAAAACTCAGATAATGAACCATTTTCTGAGTGCTTGATTACATACAATGGACATAGAAAGTCTGCAGTTAGTGATGTTCATTTCATCAGTGGACGAGGTGGTGGTTGGGGACTTGGAGATGTCATTGCTAGCAATGATGGGCAGATACATGTAAATATTATATTAGGTGATGTAAATATTTTAGTATACATTTTTACTAATAGTTTATGATTTATTTATAGCTTTGGGACCCAGAAACTGGACAAATATTGCATCAATTTAGAAATGATAGAGCACCATATTTAGCTATCAAACCGATATTTAGATCCAGATCCCTTGTTAGTGGATTAGGAGATACTTCAATCGCGTAGGCTTTTATTAAGGATTCAAATTTC